ACAATTAAGTGCATAATTAGAGAATAAATCCAAATATTAAAAAGAAATACTATAATAAAAATTTCATAATAACATCCATACCATAATTTTATTAAACTCTTTAATTAAAACAATATTCTAAACCCCTCCTATTATTAAGTTTTAAAACCAATCATTTTTAAACATTTTAACATTTTAATCTCTTATCAACTCTTAAACCATTGCAATACTACCATCTCATCTTATGTACCTTGCAAAATCTTTTTACTTTATCCATTATCCATAAAAAATTCCTTTTTTCCATTTAATTTCAAAACGTTGTAGCTTTTCTCCACCTTTTCCCTTTCTTTCTTTTCCCAACAAACCTTTCTACCCCCCCTTCTTCTAGCCTCTGCCTTACCGGCTTCCCTTCTCTGTCGTATTTCTTTTCCCCTTTGTTTACAATCATCATATTGGTTTTGCACTTTATTTTTCCCTTTCTTAAATGTTTTTTTAGATCTTAAGTCCTTAAATCCTTTAGTTTTCTTCTTTTCTCTTCTTTTCTTTTCTTTCTCTCTTCTTTTTTTCTGGATCAAATTCTGAGATTCATTAAAGATGGCTCCTTCCTTTCTTTCTTGTTCCTCTGCTGTCTTCATCTGTTGTAATTTTTGTTGATAATTAGTAAGCGCCATTTCTAAGAAAAGGAAAGCTTCTTCCACACCATTTCTTAGTTCCTCAACAGAAAGAGCCATTATAAATCTTTTCTTTTCTTTTCTCCTTCTTTCTTCTTACAACAACCAGAATATTCAAAAGAAAATAAAAAAGATAAAACAGTCCCAAAGTTATCAATCAGTCCAAACCAAGGCAGAGTTCTCACTTTCTCCTTCTGGGGTGATATCAATCAAAGAGAAAGAAAGTCCAAATCTGTTTAAAGTCTTGTTACAATATATTCTAGTCTTCAAATCCTTAAGGCATCTGCTCCAACAAATCTTAGCATACAAATATTTTCTTTTTAATCCTCTCTCTTCCCACTCATCGCTTAAAACCAATTTCCACCTAAAAAAATAGGTTTCTTAATATCCAGTTATTTATTCCGTAGGAAAAGAGGGAAAGCTATCCTTTCAGCACCTTCAAGCAGCCGCTTTTTTCCTCTTCTGGCAGGTATTATTCAGAAATACTTTCTATACTTTTCAGGAATTTTATTAAATATGTCTTAGAGTCCTAGGAGCCAAGAAAAACTTTCTCCTCTCAATCACTTTCTCCACTTCCTCCTGCGCATTCTTAGCCGGCTGCCAGCTTCTTTGTGGCGGCCATTACGGACCGCCGCTGCACCGTCCTGGGAAAAGGGGGTTCTGCCGGCCAGGGAGGGAGTCTGCAGCACCCCCAGTCCCTTCTCCGGATCCCCCCTACCTTCAGCTGCCCCTGCAGGGCAGCCTAGCTCCGTACCCGGCTGGGTCGGAGCCCCAAAAACGGCTAGCGCGGCAGGGATCGCGCAGCTTCGCAAATCCCTGCCGCTCGCGAAGCCGACAAACCGGAAGTCCTTTTGGAATATTTTGGTTGGTGTGAGAAGAAAGAGGGAAAAAGAAAAGAAAAGATCTATAATGGCTTTTTCTTTTGAGGAACTGAGGGATGAATATGAGCAAACAAAAGCAGCCTGTAAGGATGGTATGGAAAAAGCTTTTCTTTTTTTAGAAATGGCGTTGGTTAACTATGAACAGACAATACAGATGGAAGCTGAAGAACAACAAGAAGAAGACGAAGACGCCATCTTCAATGAATCCCAAAATTCATCTAAGAAAGAAGGAAGGAAGAAAGCGAGGAAAATGAAGGATTTAAGATCTAAAAAAACATTTAAGAAAGAGAAAAATATGATGCAAAATAAATACAATGATAGCAAACAAGAGAAAAAGGGAATACAACAGAGAAGGGATGCCGGCAAGACAGAGGTTAGAAGAAGGGGGGGTAGGAAGATTTGGTGGGGGAAGAAAGAAAGGGGAAAGGCGGAGAAAAGCCACAAAGTTTTAAAATTAGATGGGAAAAGAGGAATCCTTTTTAGGGATAATGGGTAAAGCATAAATTTTTTAAAAAAAGATTCTGCAAGGTACACAAGATGGTATTGTAACATTTGTATTAGAAATAGAAAATCAGAATGGCTTAAGAGTTAATAAGAAATTAAAATGTTGAAATGTTTAATAATGATTGATTTTTAAAATGTAATAAAATATTGAAGGGAAAGGCAATGAGAATGCTATAAGATTTATTATTTAGATTTATTATTTAACTACGTATTTAGGAGGCTATTATGTATTTAAACATTTTTGATTTTTTACTCTGTTTTTATTGTAACTAAAAGTAAAAATTAGTAGATAGAATGTACCAAGCAGAATCAAATTGGGTATTAGGTGTTATTTTAAATGTTAATCTAATTAATTTAGGGAGAGGATAGAAAGGCATCATACTCTGATTAGTGATTTCAGGAGAAATTCTTTTTTTTTTTTTTCATTACAAGGAATGAGATAGAGGGATAATAAAGGATGGGCAAAAGATACAAATATAATGATTTAAATTAAGATGGATTGAATAAGATAGAATTATGAAGAGTGAAATGTGTGGAGAAGTTTATATAGAAGATACAGAATGGTAAATAAAATAAGTAATGATCTGTAAGATGAGCATGAATATGATTAAAGCCCATATAAAGAGAGGTACCTGGGGCCAAGTTACTTTACTAAAAGATTTTTTATATGTATGTTTGTGTCTGTTTATGTCTTTGAGAGTACTGGTGAAACCTTGTAGAAACATAGAAAGAGAGTGATGATAATCAAGTCAGAAAGAAATAGATGAAATAATATAGAAACGTATTGTATAAGATAAGGTTTTATCTGACTTGTTAAATCTATAATGGAAAAAGGCTCAAATATGTAATGGTTGATGATGATTTGTTTGTTTTTTGAAATTAATAAAACTTGCTTAAAAAAAAAAAAAAAGAAATGCATGAACCTCGTTGACAGGGAATAGTTTGATGGCTAAAACAAGCAAGATAATATTTATCTTACACTTTTCTGCTATGTGATTTTTTGAACCTTTAGAAAAAGAACTAGAGTATTCAGAAAGTAAAGTCAGTTGGATTCCTGCCAGCTTTCACAATCCCTAAATGAATATCTTAGAGGCAATGTTTTGGAAATAAGTAATAATAAAAGTAATCTTTGTATCCAAGTATCACTGTCTGTTAATTTTGAATTAAATATTATCTCATCGTGAAACAAGATTGTTATGGCAATTGGCTATGAAACCTTAAAATACCTGTTTCTCAGCCTTTCTGCATTTCATGCTTCTCTGCATGAGGGTATACATCGTGTGCATGCTTGGTTTGCGAGCAGGAAGACATAGAATGAAAAATAGAGCGTACGATATTTATCTTTCCCACCATGATAAGTCAAACCTGAGTTAAAACTATACAAAGAGAATGTATATTCTTTGCACTCCCATGTGTACTCAAGAGTGCTTGACTTAAAGGTAAAATACCTTTTACTTATTTGTTTGATATTGTTTAGACTGTTCTTCAACTATTTCCTTGAACCCCATTTTCCTTCCTGTTCATTAAACAATCATCCCCTTCCCCCCGTAAAATTCTAGTTAGTCATTCATTTATATCCTGGCATCATGATGTGGCAGTGCAGTATACCATGAGGGTACTCAGCAAGAATATGTGATTGTTTTAGATGTGTATGCAGTGACAAGCTTACTGGCTAAAGGTGCAAGCTTATTGCACGGGGATGCTTGGATAGTGTTAGGGATAACATTGGTTACCTAACTTAGTTTGGGTAAAATAATATATAAACTATGTTAGTGAGTTTAAGTGTATGTATCACTTTAAACTGTAAACCAAGTTTTTGGGTGCGGTTGTAAAATCACCATAAGAGGGAGCAAGAGAGCTCACTGTTTACCCTGGCTTATACTGGAATGCTGACAATGATAGATTGATGGTGATAACTGCGTGTTTGCTGAAAGAAGAAAAGGGGTTTGATTATTTTCTTCATATCTCTGACTGCAAAAGAGATATATCACTGGACTGATTGATTGTAAGTTTAATGAACTCTTTTTCAACACTGGACTTTGCAAACTGAATAACCCCTGGACTGACTGAACTTAGTGTATGACATATGGACCGTTTGACTATGCTATAACTCTTGCTGGAATAAAAACTATTTAACTTGCACAGTGTATCTGTCTTACTGAGTGTAAGCTACTACAACGTTTTTGTCTCACATATCTGCCTGTCTGCTAGACTGCCGTTGCACGTTCTGCTAGGGTGTATATCCCTAACAGATAGAAATGTAGAGGATGCCGGTGAGGAAGAATCTAGTCCAGGGGTTCCCAACCTGGGGTGCTTGCACCCCTTGGGAGTGCGAGACAATATTCCAGGGGGTGCGAGAAAAGTCCAGGTAAATAATAGGATATTGGCTATATGTTGGCATTTTTATTTATTATTTATTTCAGGGGTGCAAGGTTCGAGTGAAATTTCTTTAGGGGTGCAGGGCGAAAAAAAGGTTGGGAACCACTGATCTAGTCAATGATCAGTGATATCTTTTGAGGAAATAAGAGAGCTCCATGGTGAAGGTTGGCAGAAATGGTACAACAAGACTTGTAATCAAGGCAGTAATATATCGGAAAGGAAACAATGAGGCAAGAAGTCAACATTACAGGCAGTTTCAAGGGAAATAATTGTGATGAATGGAGTCCTGAACTGTAGATTTAATAAAACAATTTATGCATAACAGCAGGTATCATGATCCTGGTCAGAATATATTTTTTTGAAAATAACAACCAAGTAATTAAAATAGATAACTTAAGTATAATGTAAGAAATTTCATTTCTTCTGATTATTACATTATTATTAGCTTGAACTCAGATGTACCTTTGGTTGCTGTGGTGAGAATCTGCCCAAAGTATAATGCATTTGAATTCAGAAACACTTAGTGATTTAAAGGAATAAGCTGCACAATTTCTTTTTCCTTTTATGTTTTTTTCCCCCTCTTAAGTGACTAGACCTGTGGAAAAGAAACTTTGCCTTACTCCCGTTCCTCCTGCTTCTCAACTGTGTAGCATTCCGTGTCCTCCTGATTGTGTGGTTTCTTCCTGGTCAGCATGGGGCCCTTGCATTCATGAAGACTGCCAAGAAATTCAAGGAAGAAAAGGTGAATTTGAATATAAGTTTCAACATAATGTAGGGTATTTCTTCAACCTGATGTTTTGCAGATGTACTGGATAATATTTCCTTTCAGTTTCCCCTGATACGTTTGACTTTTTATCCCCTTTATAAAGTGTGCTTCTTTACCGTGTATTCTAGTTTTTAGCAAACCATAGTTCTTTTGCTTATAATCCATGATTAAACATAGTCCTACTTGGGTATTTAACTTAGCCTATTTTCTATTTTTTTATTTTTATGTATTTTTTGTTTCAAGGGAGAGAGAGAGAGAGAGAGAGAGAGAGAGAGAGAGAGAGATTAGATCAGATCTCTATCTATCTCTCTCTCCCACCAACGTCAGCAAGCCACCGTCAGTCAAAATTCATATTAGTGGTCCCCGGGATTTAAAATTATGAGTTTGGTGGTCCCTGAGGTCCAAAAGGTTGGCGAACCCTGCACTAGAACAAAGGGACCGCAAAGGCATGAAATGAGTCCAGGAAGCATATGAGACTGAGTTTCTGATTCAAACTAATGTACTGAGAGAATATTTGTACCTCAGAATTGAACTGAGGAGTCCTTGGTGCTCTCTGAGCTTGGTGGTTTTCATGCAGACATTTCATTACCCAGCTCAGTAACATCATCAGTGCTAGATGAGAATTTACCTAGAGGTTACCTAGTTTGGTAACAAAGCTAATGTGCTTTATGCCAAATTCATGATTATTGAAGAATTCATGCAAATAAGCTCTTTTCCACCTATGTAACAAATGTGGATATTTTTTTAAAATGGATTTCTTTAAACATCAGAAGGGAATGATTCTGCCTGCACTCTGATTCCTCCAACAGTATATGCTTGCATAAAGTAGACCTAGAAACCAGTAAGTTATAAGTGGGAGTAAGATTGTTCCAGTACACATTTCTCCAGGAGTTGAATATTATATGAAAAGAGCTCTATTATGTATAGCTTGTTGTTGAGCAAGTTAAATAGTCTTTTTCATAACAATGCAAATATGTAGACATAATGGAAAAGCAGTCAAGTTCTCCAGCGAGTCTATCCTTTTTCCCACGTTCCCTCAGTACAAATGTGGCCCATGCTAATGTATAATTTCCTACATCAGAAATAGCAAGGGAGAATGGGAAAGTGGGAAAAATACGTAATCAGACTTCTTTTCTAAAGTGCACAAGCATGATTTGATCTTCTTTAGTACGTGCAATGTAACCTGAGAGATTTTTAATAGCACCTTCTTGTCATTTCATTGTAAGTATGCAAGGCAGCTTAAAAGTTAGCAGAGCTGTCTAGCCAAAGACAATGAGCTAGAACTGTGAGAAAATGTGTTTCTTACCTCTATTGTATTTGTTCATCTTCAAGATGGATTGACGGTTGGAAATTATTCAGTATTGTTTCTTCCTTCTGATTTTAGCTATTTGCCTCCCCACCCTTCTCTTAGGTTTCAAAATGAGGCACAGACACATTGTTGTGGATTCCATTGGTAATTCTGAGAACTGTCCACATTTGATAGAGGCTATTCCATGTGACAATCCAATGTGTTATGACTGGAGCATTTCAGAAGGAAACTGTTTCCCTTATAATGGAATATGTGGACAAGGAAACCGTGTGTTGTATGCCCAATGCAAAAACAACAATGGTACGTAGCTCAAAGATATTTCATTTAAATATATACTACACTGTGGGGCCTTTGATGCTCTCTGAGCTTGGTTGTTTCCTTGCGGATGTTTCATTACCAAACTAGGTAACATCATCAGTGCTAACATCATCGATGCTGCATTAATATTCAAGATGCTTTATACTGTCTGTTTTCTAGAAAGAATGCATGATGTACATCTTAAGTTCAGATATGGATTTTACTAAAGTTTGTGGCTTTATTTTGCACCACACTTCGTCTTGTGCAAGTGTGTTGCTTAACAATTTAATCAGTTCTTTCTAGCACATCATTCTACCTTCTTCCAAAAAACCTTAATTGCCTCAGTATAAGAAAAAGAGAGATTCCCGCAGTGAAGATTTCAGGGCTGAGGCCTAGTTTTCAGTGGTTTGCGACAGGGATTTAGCTCCACATGTGTAAATGATAGTTATATTGGCCTCAGGCAGGAGGTGTTGGGGGAGATTAGATGCTACTGGGCTACAAGTAGAATTTGTGCAGTGGAAAAAAACCATGCTGGAGATAATATCCTTGATTGTATTTGTGTAAACAAAGCCACATAAGGTAGCACAATGCCAAGGAAAGAAAGTTGTTCTTATTGAGTGCATTGCAATACAGTGCCAAGGTGCCTGGGCTTCATGGGATTTGGGAAGAAAACTGAATATTATCAATTTGTGGCTCCAGCTTATTGGTTTTTTTTTTGGCCACCCTTATGATTTTAATCATAAAAGCCTAAATCCTGCTAGATTAGTCTGTATGCTTCCCTAGTCCAGTTTATTGTACCTCTCTTTAGCAAATGGGATGGCACTGGGGAAGATGTTGAACTTAGACAGGAGAATATGAGCTCTCTTCCACCATCCCTTCCCCTGTGTATGATTCAGAAGATAGGAAAGAACTACTGGTATTAATAGCCCTTGATATCCTGATCCTCCATAAACTTTGGTTGGGCGCTAAATTGGCTGTGCTTACTTACCACAGCTGCTGGCAGTGAATTCCACAGTTTAAATATGAGCTGCATAAAAAAAATCATTTCATTCTGTTGGTTCTGAATTTGCATGCATTTAATTTCAGGGAATGGCCTCAAATATTTTTCTGGAAGGGGGAGGGGAGGGTGGGAGAGAGAGAGAGACTTCTTTTTCTGCAAAATTTGCCTAAAGCAGGGCTTTCCAAACGGTGAGTGGTATTTTCCTTGAGGAGGTGCAAATAGGGGTGGTGTGAAGAACTTGTTAGTTTTACAAAATTTCGATGTCCATCTTTCTCACAGTTTCATTTTATAGTTTTCATTGTTCATTTGTGTTCATTTTGGTGTTTGGATTGTTAGGAAGATGACACTACAGGGTGGGGGTAAATGCAGCGGTGCGATTCAACTGGTGTAACAACCAGTTCATTGAGTGCGCGCTGCGCGTGCGTCATACACACAATTTATGTGCGTGTTCTACGTTTAAAAAAGCCCATTTTCAACTCTAGTACTTACCTTCTACTGCAGCCCCGGTGACTGAAACAGCTGAAGTGCGGCAAACTGCTCTGCCGCATGAATCAGCTGTGCTAAAAAAAACCAGGAAATAAAGCACAGCAAAGAGCAGGGGTGGGTGGATGGGACCAAACACTTGCTGGAACTACCGGTTTGCCCACCCCCTGGGTAAATGCCGAAAAATGAAAAGCCCTCTAAAGCAAGTCATCATCTTTTGTGTTGCCCAAGTAGTTCGCCACTAGCACGGTTTCAGATCTAGCAGGTTTTCATGAGACATGTTCCACCTCTTACTAAAGCATCTAGTAGAAATACAGTTGACTTTGTCTCACTGACACCATTAGACCTATAGCTCTGAGAGTGACAATCCTTTTTTAAATAATAATTTTACAATTAAAAATATAAAAAGTAATACAAACTAAAAAAAAAAGAGTAAAAAGAATAAATAAAAAGTGCAGAAAAAAATAGTATAGAGATAAAAAAATTAAATAAATTACTTCTTCCTCCATCACAGCAAAGATAAATAATTTGAGTAATTTATCACCTTCTCTTTAAATACAACAAATTATCTCTTCTTCCCATATCTCACCTCTTATTTAATAAACAAATCCTTAAAGCCTGGTTGTTCAATTTTGGTCAGCAAAAACCCTGTTAAGGATTACCAGAGATAACAACATATCTATTTAACTGTGATAAATAGCTTGAAATAGATAAATAAAAGAACCTTCTATTCCTTTTACTTTAATAATCTTAATCTTCCTTTAAGTAATGTCCTAGAATTTGATTTCTTTTCATTTTTATTTCTTTTTCTCTTATGATAAAATCTTTGAAAACATTAACAGGTCACTTTTGTAAATCCAATGTAGAATAATTTTCCAAATCACCCTTTTGATTTGTTATTTGTATATCCCTTTTAATTAATAAGGCATTGTTCTTGTGGACTGTCATTATAAAATCCACTTTCAAATCAGTCTCAGTCTTGTCTGGTAGAACTTGCTGTTCTTCCATAATAACTTTTAAACGCAATCTACCTATAATGGCACACATTCTTAAAATTATTGAGTCCATGGTTCACACATTTTCTTCAATATGTCTAAAGCTAAACTATTTTGTATTAGTCAATCAAATTTCAGTGTTCTTCCCATTCAATTGTAATCTTTAGTCCTTTCTAATTCTCAGTGAACTTTGTGTCCATGAATGCTATATTACAGTTGTGATCTTGATTGAAATCCCTTGATTCCCAGTTGTTCATCTCACAAGTTGACCACACACACACAACCCCCCCCCACCCAATTCCTGCAGTCTACTCATAAGGAACAGCTGTCAAAAGTACACATGACAACTTCATAATCACCCCCTTTTTTTGTGGAGACTTCATCTGCCAGAATTTGCTGTCTGGCTACCAGTCTCCGCTGCATTGTCATCCTCCTTTGGGATGACTAGTTTGCATGTCTCCTCATTAGAAGTCTGGGAGTGACAATCCTCTGGGTGTAAACAGAATTATCTCTCTGCTTTGTCAGTTATGTTTATAATAGAGCATCAAAAGAAAATTATTTTGACAACAGCGGTGTGATTTCTTTCCAAGAATGTATAACCTTCCTCAAAAAGGTACATCAACATTTGCATTCCTTTCTAACTGTCGCCAATACACGCAGACACAAGATTTACTTCAAGGTTTTACAACTTATTGCCGAATAGTTTGTTGCATAATCTGAACTGGGAAAGTGGTTTTAGTGCTGTCTCCAAACCACATTGTATAATATGAATGGAATATGAATGGAATATGAATGGAATGGAATGGAATGGAATGGAATGGAATAGAATAGAATAGAATAGAATAGAATAGAATAGAATAGAATAGA